TCAGAAAAAGACAGAGAGAGAGAGAGAGAAGAGGGGAGGAGTTGATCTTGCGAGAACTTCCGGGCGGGTGAGAATAGCCACTTTTTTTCATTTTCATGCCAAAATTGTGTTCAGGGCCCTAAAAAAAACGTAAAAAGCTACAAAATAATACCCTTTATGAGACGGGAGGGTTTCTATAAAGTTACCGACATTATGGGGAGTTGACTCCCTCAATAATTACCAGCTGACAATTTATTTGTCACGCCTTCCTTTTACCTGACACAAACAAGACACACTAGTCACTAGACAGCCCCTGCCTCTCACTTCAATCGCAAATATCTCTACTTTTATTCAAGACAGAACTGTATTCTTTCACCATACACAATATAAGTGAAGACGCTAAGAGATTGTGTTATATATCAACAACTTCTTTTATAATGCTAAAAAGATTAACGAACAGCTGAGACAACTGATGAGACAGTGAGAGTAAGTTCATCAGATCATTCATTGCAGGTCAGTGCAGAGTCATGAGATAGGCGAGGATTTATAACTCAATCAAGACTTCTTGAAGCTTAAATAAGTTTAACAGGCTAATTTTAAAAACTAAACTTGACGTAATGTTCTGAAACCTACCATCTTCACGTTTTTTCAATTATCCTTGGCTGTGCAAATTATAATCCAGATGTTAGTCCTGCATCAACGTTTGATCCAGCATGAGGTAATGCCGCAAATGGCCGGGAAAACCGGATGTTGATGAGAGAGTTTGGTCCCTTGATCTATTTTAAGACGACACAGCGCATGCGTTTTGCCTAGATCAAAGAGGTTATAAATAGAGAAAGAAGTCATAGCTCTGACGTCACGAGTGTCAAAATTGAGAGGCATGCCGCCATCCCGGAGAGGAATAAAAGGCCAGTCGGTGCACAGCAACACTTTTCAATCACGGATTAATGATACTCTGCGAAGTCATTTGATGTTGATTTCTTTTTCATGTGATTTATCTATCGCTATAATATACTCGTAGGGTTTTTTGTGATTGTTTACCTTTAAATTAGCCAGATAATCTCCAAAATCTCCAATTAATGCAATTATTGCCTTTTACACCGTGAGACTATATGAGTGAGTAAAATTAATAAGAAAAAATTAGAGAGATCAACTTGATGATCACTTTTTATTATAAAAAAACATACTTTTATTGAAATTTTTTGCTGTGTGTCGCTCAAACAGATTTAGCACCGCTGACCCCAACACTTTAAGGCGCTCCTATCGGCCCTCTAGAATCAGGGATGTGACCAAGAAGCTGCTAGAAGCTTCAGCTGCAACTCTAGAGCATCTTCAAAGTTGGCTGAATGGAAAAGAACCTCTGTCGATGTTGTTGAGATGAGAAAATACCAGGCGCAACTAACCACCGATAAGACCAGCATAATATTCTGTCTGATTTGCGGAAACAACGCCAAACAGCATGAGCAACAGCAGCACCAGGGGTTCATGGAAGATGGGGTGTTGTGTAGCAAAACACCATTGCCAATCAACGCCAATTTTAGAAAATATTGTCAACGTTTAAAATAAACTGGCTATTTATCTAAGTGACGTTATATTTTAAAATGTCGTCAGTGTAAAATCATATTTTGTCCGCAATATTAAACAAAGCTCTTTGCGCGTGCGCACAGGATCCATACAATCAGAGATAGTATCCCAGCCTACAATTAATTGCTCATCTTGAGACAATAACGAATTTATATATTATTATTATTATTGGATTTAGTTAAATAATTACCCCAGTCTAAACCCCCTTCATATTCTATGAAGACCTAGGCTTTGCATCGGTGGTCAGTAGAAGGAGAGTGTAGACAACATGACATAGTTATCCATTTTGTAAGTATGGAATTATCATTCTTCTTAACAAACTCAGTTGCTCACTTTGTCTTCCTCCGCCCTTCCTCCACCCCACCCGGGAAAAAATAAACAATACCTTATAGCATATATCTCTGTTCATCTGTAGCCCACATTTAAGTGCCGCACAGCAGAGAGTATTTAATTATAACAGACATAGTGAGTTTACGTGGGTGACGTCACAGCTGTGAGCTCTAGTAGCCTACTGCTATAACCTCTTTGGCCTAGATCTAGTGGTTTAGTAAAAGAAATACGGCTTGGCTTGAATTTTGAGATTTGTTATTATAAGGTCATGTAAGCATCACGGCAGTCTATCAGTCTATTACAAGTGAATGGGGCGGGGAGATCGACAACTAGACTAGTGCATGCATGTTCTTTTTTTTAAATTTTTATTCGAGACCCACAAACAACCCCAGATAACAAAGTCATTGCAGTGATTGCACCACTCCCATACGCTACCATGAAATCGAGAATAGCCATTGAGAATAACAATTTGTAGAATATAAAAATGATAATATCTTTATTTAGAATGTGAGTAGTGTCTATTTTAAAGTCCACGACCATGACCAATGATTATGACCATGGCTATCATTCCGAATTACACCCACTACTTGCTAGAAAAGAGCTTCCTTATTTGATATTTACTAATACACACTGTATATCAGTATACAGTATAATTAATGACAAGAAGACATCTAGCTGATTTTTGAAAATTACCAAATAATTATAATAACAATAACAATAATAATAATGATAAAAGTA